GGGCTAAAATGAATGTGCAGCCATAGCGGTTATTTATTTTGGTTTGCTCGCACGTTTCTTGTTTTTGCTGACTCGCGCGAAACGTGCGCGAAATGCAGATGTGGAGTGCGACACCGTCATTGCAAAGCGGCGCTAATGAATTGTGTGCTAAAGCAAGTAAAGCATTCAAAAGGAGCCCAGAATAGTAGTAAAAAATGAAAGTTAGCATTGTTTCATTTACAAAGAAGAATGCTCCATTTTATATTAAATCTTCAAATATTATGGTGGCTTTCCAGCTTAATACGTTGTAATTATTTTTGAAAAAATAATTAATTTTTAAAAAAACATAATTTTGTTTTGTATTTTAAAACTGTTTAACTTTGAATAAAAAACATTTAATCTTTCTATAAAAATTAAACCACAATATAACAGGTCATCATTCTTCTGCAGACCAGCATTATCATAAATCAACAAGAGCTTGACTTATAAATAAACATGTTGATCATACGTGGGAAAAGCGGCCGCTTGTGCGTAATGAGTAAATATATTGCGTACGGATATAAACACACAGCCCTGCATGATATTAATAAAGTGTTGTGTGCACGTCTCGGCTGTGTCTGTCCTTGATAAATTTAGCCGCCCGATTTTATGACGTTAGACGAAGAGATCATAAAGCGGGGTTTATTGTGATTATTGTGAATGCGGTGGAGCCTCAAGGGACCAGCGCGAGTTCCATTATTATTGCATGCCCACAACGAGTGAGTCGAACAAATTTCGCTGTGGCAGCAAATAATAATGTGTGCGCACTTCATGTGTGGTGGTGCCGAGCTAGGAGGCGCTCGTTGTTAAGCCGCCGAGAAATTGTCATTACCGAAATGCGGAATGCAAATTTGTCTTCATTCAGGGCGGAAGACGTACGAGGATTGATTACTCGGCAGCTTAAGTAACACGCACGTTATAGATTGATACATGTGTACATATGTGCGCTCCCTCTCCCTTAATGGGAATTTCGATGGGCGCGTTCGTGATTTGGAGTCCTTACCCGTATTGCTATTGACTCAGTGACATGTGAAGCAAAGTGATTGTCGATTTGTCAACGTTGAGTCTAGAAATTGGAAAGCAAGGCGATGTTTGAATAAAGAGGTTTCTAGAAATTAACAGTGCTGTTTAAGTGATGCTTTTTTCAATTAGCTCCATAGATAACAATAATTGGTTCCAAATCAAATCACATGAAGTAAATCTCTCTTTTTTGTAAACAATCAAACTTATAATATTTAATTTCAGGATGATTTATTCGGGCAGAGAATGCCCGGTGATAAATTAATAAAATAAACATTAAATTCAAATATAAAATTGGCATTGTTGTACACTCACAATCAGAGAGCTTCAGAGCTAGACGTTTTTTTCATGCAAAGATATATATTTGACAGAATTCTATTTGAGCGCAAGCATGAGAAGTGACAGGCGACAAATTCCACTGCCAGGTCTCGGCGGAAATAGAAAATGAAACACACACGCACCCGATGCAAATATTGATACGCATACCCCTGCGAATGTCAACACGCGAGAAATGAAATAGATGTGGGCATTGCTCTCTTTTTGCCCAAATTTCGAGGCAGAGGGAAAATATATAATGTGTGCCGACGGCCGTTTCATTATTTGAACATGTCACCCAGCCATCATAATGATATTCCTTGTCGCAACGTTTTCATCGCCACGCATACGCTGCGAGTATATTCGCAAACAGTAATAATAACGAACTCATTCAGAAACTGTTGCCTGTTCCTGGCTGTTCGTTTCTGTCACCGCTATTTTGAGAAATTTCTTTGGGCTTGTTCCTTCATTATTTTCACTTTGCGGCTCAATTTTGACATATATTATGTTTATGGTAAACTGCGGTAAACATATTTCGTGGCAGCTGTGGGCGGTTGGTTAGAAATTACGTTGCCGCACGAGGATAAATTAGTGCTTTTAATAATATGATGCACCTGGTTTGAGAATTAACAATTAAACAGCAAAATTTGAACAGCATCAAGATAATTCTATAATGTTGCATTCTTCTTTGCAAAATTATAGAATAGTTTGAAAGTATTAACTAAATATTTTTTTCTGCGGTGTCTTTCACTTGAATTAGAGGAATTGTTTTACCTGTGCTGTTTTGAAAGAAAAATGCAACAGTAGGCAAATTACTTTTAATGCTTTATATAAATAAATTTGGCGGTCAAAAGTTGAGATGTAAAGCAGACCTTAACAACTAAATCAGCTGGATATGATTCAATTTTCTAAACTTGTAGAGAGAAGATGGCAAACTATTTCAATCAATAGAGATTTTTACGGTTGGAAATAAGATATTTAGTTCTTCGTCATTTCCAGGATAGATTGAATTATGTGCCACTTAAATTTGAAAAAAAAAATTATAACCAAAAGCAGGCACGGCCAATATTGCAGCAAGTTGCGCATAATGCAAGTTTTCCCAGAATTGAATTATGATCTGCAATACGCACTTCCAAACGAGTTACCATGAACGTCGAATTGCCGATGCATTATTAATTTATCACCACAAGCGCACGATTAACCGTGGGGCATTTTGCATGCATGTGTGAGTACCTTTTATGTTATGTGCCTCGCGCGGTTTGGACAAGTTTAAGCGGGCGATGAGCGTTAGTTGTGTCAAAGGGTACGGCGTACAATTGTGCCCGAGTAATAACAGACGAGTATGCAAATAATGCACGTGTACTTCTAAGAGCATGTTCTGTATTATTAACTAATGGTCTTGCATGCTATGGTCGTGTTGACAAACGTTATGCTTCGAAAATGAGTAAAATGTTCATATGCCAATTTTATTCATTTAATGAAAATTATTTTTAAATTTAAACAAACAAAAAAAAAACAATGACCAGAAAATCAATGTTATGTATATTTTTTGCAAACTTAATTTACTCTTAATTATTTTAAGGATATTCCCGGAAAAAATATATCCGATGTTCTCCCTGCCTTTATCGTAATCAGCGAGTGCGAAGGCATGAAATGAAGCGATAAAAAGAGGTTCATGCCAGCCTTTTAAAGAGCCAAATTAAAATTATTGGGGTTTTTCTTAAATTGCTATCTACGGGCAAAAATATTCTTAAAATATATTCAATCACATGTCATTCTTTTGAATTGAAAAATTATTTATTATTATAAATCTAGAAATTTTTAAAACAAATTTTCAAGAAAATCATCACTGCTAATCTTTGTAGCTTAATAGTTTAAATACCATTTCATGGCTTTCTCTCTTGAGTGCAATATCTATGAGTAGATGTAAAAACAAATATTAAGCCCATGCTGCCTGTTGACGAGCATGTGTTTGTTTATGGACGCGAGTGCCAAAAGCAGGTCCCGTGTGTTGTATTTGAAATTCAGATGTAGGTGTGTTTGTTCACTGTTCAAAAAGCAGCATCACGGCTCATCGGAAATCTGGTTCTGTCATTGGCCATGCTGCCCGTGTTGCTGCTTCATTTATGATTCAATCGACTGCTCAGCCACGCACGCACGCACTTCCAATTTCATTTATATAAATTTTGATGTTGATTTTAATCCAGGATCAGCGCATAAATTCAAATGACAAAATGAGGTATATGCTATACATTTTGAGCACTGGTTTGTAAATTTTTAATTTTTTAGTTCATTAATTTTAGATTGAACTTCTTTGATTTTAAAAACAGTGCGACACCATTATTCTCATCCCTGGCTATGTTACAATGAAAATTAATATTTTATGACAATTAAACAATTGAAAAAAAAACAGATCATCTAGTTTTGATCATGTTCTATGATTCCATTTCACATAAAATAGAAAGGATAGAAAAACAATATCGCAAAGTAAGATATAAAAACACATTAAAGAAACGATAAAAATAAAGATCTTAATTTTAGTTTTTTTTTGTTAAAATTCGTATTAAACATTATTTATATTTATTATTTCTAATCTTTCTAATAATATCTTAATTCTTTTATTCAATACAATATAAAGAATCGTCACAACTGGAAGTTACAAAAAATTCTTTTAATACTCAGCGGTTAGGAGCCCATTGTTTTAAACAACGAAAATTTTCTTCCTTTGTTTTTTTCAGTCTGTTTTTCTTTTTCAAAGTATTAGAATATGATATGCTATTTTAATTTTGCGAGTTTAACTTATTTACTATAGTTACCAGAATTTTCATTTACTTTGCGCTCCTGAATCAATGTGGGTGTTTCGGGAGAACTCCAATTTTTGTCGACTAGCCGCGAGCGATTGATGGCGGTAGAGCGTCATTACTGCGCAAAACTGGTAGGGTATATTTTCCTTCATTTAATCGCATTTCCAGGAAGACGCGCTTTCTTTAAAAGATTTTCGCCTAAAAGGGAGCGAAAGCAAGCGCGAATGGTGGAACGAGAGAAGGAGAAGAAAGGGCGCCGGGTCTCGTCCTGATTGATAGCAACTCAAGAGAAATCAATTCGACAAAGAGACGGAGGATGGATTTAGACTCTGGCTACAATAAATGGCTCCTCGGCGAAGAGGGAAAAGCGCCTCTTTTTTTACTTGCCCGAGCCCCCACGTGACTGCTGGAATGGAAAAATATGCATTGCCCTTTCCATCCAACATTTTCGCACTAAATATAAATTTGGCATCAGCGATCCGCAGAGTAAATATTAAAAATGGTCGGACGACACCGTTTATGGCCAGATTGTGCTTGCCGTTGCGCGTCGACTGCAACGGCTCTTTTCAAATAACTGTCAATATGTTCGGTGAAAAAAGCGAGAGACAAAATTTTTGGAGAAAGAATTCAATTCTGTCGAAATCAAACGACACGTTTGCCAGAAAAAGCTGACGGCTTCTCCTACAATATTTACTTTGAGCGTTACAATACGAAAAAAGATGTATTTTTCATGGCATGTGATGTTTCTCAAACTCCGTACGTTTAAAAAGAAACCTCTTTTCACGGTTAAATAAAATTATACTTTCTGCTAAAAATTAGCAAATAAGAAAAAATATTGCTCACCAAGGGAAGCCGCTGGTTCAACAAAGTGCAAGCGCTCCAATCAACCTGAAACAAAAGTTTTAATAATTAAGAAAGTATAAATGCAAGTGAAAAAAACTACACACACGCTAAACTTTTCACTATATTACACCGTGGTGACACTTCAACGATTTTTTCGTCAAAATGCACCAGAGTAGTTTGGGGCTCAGGACAAACTTTTTGTTTTACTCTCTCTTCTGGGAGAGTAACTTGAAACGGTCTTTTGAAGGAAAAGGATCAGCAAAAAGGGACGCGAAGGAAGATTTTTCCTACTTTCCGCTCGCCGTGAAAAGTTTGCGCGGCGATTGTGGCAGATTCTGTCGGAAAGTGTGCGGCGAGTGTGCAGTCGTTGCGATAATACCGCCGGGGAGAGAGGCAATTTATTCGCCTTCTTTTCTCTTTCTGCTCTTTGCATACAGGGCCGCATCTGCGCCTGCTACTTGTTACGTTTTGCGAGGGTGAAGGGGATTCTCCGCCGCCGTGCAACACAAATGCCAGTCGGCCTGTCAAGTGGCGAAAATTGCTCGGCGCGCCGTTTCAACATTTAAAATAGGCTCCAATTATTCAGGAGATGAGACTCGAGAAATCCCCGCTTTTCTCTTACCCGCTTGTGTTGCACTTCTTGTCGCATTCAATTCGTCGTCAGTTGCGAAAGAGGCAGGTGGAATTGGCCCCAATTACCGCTCATGGCATCTCGCACTCGACTCGCATGAGAGCAATTTTTGCAGCAATTTGCATTTACGTCAAAGGCGTGTGTACGTAATTACATTCGGTAGATGACGACGACACTTACCATATTTCAAAAGAAGCAGTTCTTGAGCTGTAAAGCATTCGCAGAAAATGAAGAATAATGGGGAATGCTTTACAATTTAAGTCTAGGTAAAAGATAGTAGATGCGCAGAAAGACGCTACCTTGAGTAACTATGCGTAAAAAGCATGATGAAGAAATAAATTGAAGAATAATAATAAAAAAAAATAGTACAAGGTATGCTTTAGAAATGTTACTACCCGTATTTGATAAAATTATAGTGAGCAATTTAAATTCCACTACCCTTGAGAGTTCTGGAAAGGCTGCTGTTTATAACACAGAAGATGTTTTTCTATTATAGACACGTATATAAAAGCTAGAGAGCCATCTTTGTAGATTTTCCGTTCTTCTGTACATCTTTTATGTAGTTTTTTTTTGCTGCATTTAATGGCTCTAGAATTTACATTCGATATTAAATAAATATGATGGTACAAATTTTATTCTTGTTGAAACATTCCAAGGTCTCAATAATTTTGGGCAAGTAAAAAGTATAAATTTTTTTCTGCATAATATTGGGATGACATATTTTAAAATTTAATTGACAAGTGGAAGGGACACAAACACTTTTTGCATAATATAAGAGCGACAATTAAAGCACGGTTTTCAATCTTGCGCACTTAGGACGAGACCCATTTACAATGCAAATGGGAATATGCGGCTGAGGTTGACCTGCTAAATTGTTTGCACGCCGGCCGAGCACCGTCACAATGTGTCCCTGGCTAACAAACTCGACGACAAGAACCTGGCGCGAAAATTGATTATCGCGCCGCTCACAACAACACCCGCCGAGAGAGCAGCGTATATGAAATTACAGCACCTCGCGCGTACGTACATACATACGTCACTTTGGCGTGCACATTCTAATTAATATTTTATGCAAATCCCGCTGCGAAACAATGACGTGTAATTATTGCTGGGCTGCCGGCGAGGTGCATCACGTGATAAAGAGATAGTCTGCAGCCAATGGAAAATTGCCTGCTCTAGGTTTGCAAAAGGGGAGACGAGATTAAAGGATTAGAAAATTTGTAACGTGAGGGCAGAAATTGACTAAATTGAAATTTAAAATAAAAATTTAAGTATGTTTTCTTTTATGTAATTTCTTTCTCAAGTAACCAATATAATTTATGATTTTGAATAAATGGATTATGGATGGTATATTTGGGCAGAGAATGCCCGGTGATACATATCTAAACATGGTTTGGAATTTAAATTACGTAAAAATTTTTATAGTGAACCTGTATAACAACATTTAAAATATTCGTATCTGCTTATGAACTTTTCAACCAAAATAATCTTAATTTTTTCTGACAATCAAATTTTTCAGAGTTAAGAAAAAAATTGAAGTTTTTATACACGTGACTTAAAAATCATACCTCCTTTACACAGATAGAATTTACTTGCCATTAATCACACATATGAACCTGATAATAAAGTTTGTAAGTTAATCACTAATCTGGAAAGTTTTCTGTAGAGACCGGCGAATGCTCTCTTTTAATGTAATTCTAGTTGCGGGCAGAAAAGTTCAACTTAACCTTTACCAGCAGTCCAGCATCAAATCAGCACAACAACCACTAAATAGTTTCTCAACTCATTTATTTTACAATGTAATGCCAGTTTCCCAGCATTATATAAGTGTATTGTAAATTTTTGGCTAGAGCAACCTGGGAATTAATTTCAATAAATTTTGGTTTGGACTAACTTGTGGTCAAATTTAATTTTTTCTTGTAAAGCTCCATAACCAGAGAAGAAAATTCAGTAGAAATTTCCTCTCCCATAAACACGGAAAAGTGGAAGCAAAATCTAAAAACTTGAGCCTGTATTATACACGTATATGTTTTTTTTAATATATTTGGGAATTTTAATATTCCAATTAACGTCAAAAGCCTTGGAGAGCAAAACGTCAAGAACAAAAATGTTCAAATATTGAGTTTTGGCTCTCTCGGGTCTCATGTTTTGACAGGAATGGCGTTCGTCGTCGCGAAAAGCGATTGATTGACAGTTTTATCAATATTTATCAAGTAATGGATGCGTAATTAACGGTTGCCAGGCGGATGATTCGTCGGAAGTAAGCGTGCGGAGGCGTTGAAACAAGCATGCCTGATGCTGATGTCTGCAGACTGAAAGACGTTTTCTTTCGATCATCGGTCACATTATCGACATTCACCTTAAATAGAGCTGAAGATAAAGTTCATTTTGGTATCATAAAATCAAAAGTTGGTAAAAATTAATCAATAAAAAATATATAAGATCTGTTCAATCAGACTTCATAGGTCACCAAACGCATTAATGCAGGGATCATCAATATATGACATGGGGATTGATTAAATTTATTAATTTTTAAATATAATTAATGACATTTTGTTTCGGAAATAAGTTAAACCTCCTGGTTTAAATGTTATTTGTTCAACTATTGAAATAAAATATGAATTATAACTTATTTTAAAAATAAGAACAACATTATTTAAATATTAAATAATCCTCAAAAATATAAATTAAAAATTTCTTAATGCAATATTTATAATAACTATTAACAACAATTGTTTGTTGTTTTTAATGCCTAATATAAAAACATATGCAAAAAGAGGATTTTTTTATCCAGAAAACCCCATTAATGTTATTTTATTTTCTTCATCCAACAATCAAATATTTCATAACAATATAAATATAATTTCTGATTTTCATCAGATTTTTCAAAAAATTCTCATTGTTCGTTTGGCCCATTGTTGTCTCACATTTGAAGTTATGAATCCGTTGGTGATTAGATGTCATTTTCATCTTCAGATTCAGAAGACTCTCAACTAGGCGGCTGGGATTCGAATTTTGAGGAAAATTCTCAGCCAGAACTACGAAGTTCAACTTCTGACGACAACACCCACACCGACGACGAAGGAAGACAGCAAGTTCGTTTCGCCAAAGTCTTCTCTAAAGAATTTGAAGCCCTCGACCCATCAGTCGCGGTCAACCACACTCCAGAGATAACTGTGAAAGAGATCCACTCAGTAACGACATCCACCACCAGTCTGATTTCTGCAGACTTCGGGCACGAAAACCAGCCCCCAGGAATTTTTGAGACGGCGCCCGAATTCCTTATCGAAGCTTCCGTCGGGATTCTGGTGCAGTCCATACCTGATCTGATTGAGTCTTCAGCTTGCAAGGCCACGCCGGTGGAGGACCCAGATTTTGAGCAGGAAAATTTCGCCGAGAATCTGGGACCGCCTTGGGAAACCGAAATGCGAGACAACGGACTGCAGTTCGACGACTCTGATGTCGACGTTGAGCCGACTCGTGCAGAGGTATTCTATATAAAAGCAGAGATAAGATTTTAGCTTTCACGCTTCATTTACCTCGGGAGCGCTTGTCACTTTCGATTTTCGGAGGTGGTGCATCATTTACCACGCCATTATGCGGCACTTAAATGCGGACTTGGCAAGCCAAGCGTGAAAATTCCAAAATCTTGGCTACATTTTATTGATTTTAAAACGATTTTACCATGTTAAAAATTCCAAAATCTATAAATTCTTATGGAAAATCGTTTAAAAATTTAGAGATATATTTTATTAAATATTTTAGAATTTAAAAAAAATTGTTCATTGGTAATTTACTTGTTTTATAAATGATTATAATGCTCAGTTTTATTTAAGATTCTTTATTTGTGTATTATTTAAATCAAATTCTCTCAAGAATGGAAGCCATCTATGCGATTATTGGGAATTTTAATCCTCATTGTTGCCCAGGCCTCATTTGAGTGTGCCAATGAGGCCAGTAAGGTGTCCATAAAATTCATAGAAAAATTTTAAAGAAAAAAAATCAACAAATTTTTACACCTTAAATAAGCGCATTTAAAAGCTAAGTTTTGCCATTTAAAATTTTTTTTAAGCCCAAAAACATTTAATTTTAGAAATAAAAATCTCACACTTCATGAAGGTACGCGACACAATCTAATTTAAAAAAAAATTAATAATAAATAAATAAATAACTTTTGTTTCTTTTTTTCTGGAATATCTGTACAGATAGTTTTTCTTGAAAATTATTGTTGTTTAAAAAATAATTATTTGCATTTTTTTTTTAACAAATATAAAACCACTTACCAAGAATTTTATAATGTGGCATTTCAAAATAATTAATTTCCAACTATGGAAAATTATGCTCATCGTTATCTTATTTTGCGGATGAAAAATGAGCACCCTGCTATAATTTAAAACCATTTTTGGCATGCGTT